ATATATACTTTGTGGGGTCTGCCACGCCTCCTTCTGCCTGTTACATACATTTCAACAAAACCTGATTTCCCATTTTCAATGGGCTCAGGGTATAAATAATATTAATATTTTCGTTGAATAACATCTATATATAACTTATCTGAGCAACACCGCTGCAAGTGAATAGATTATTTCATATATAGCTATATATTTGTATAGATGTATAGGTATATCAGATAAGAAATAAAATAAAGTTTTGCAAGTTGGGTTCAGTATATGTATAATCAGTTCGTATATGTATAATCATCGTGAGGCCTGTCTGTCTACATCTTTGTGCGCACGTATTCGCATGCAAACGCATGCATGTATGCATGTGCATGCGTACACATATCTCGCTGATGCTGTCGCTAGAGCAGTAGTTGATACTCCGGCGGTGCGTATGAGTAATATGAAGTTGCATTTCATAGAAGAGTCGATTTTAGTGAAATTGACTTGAGTCAGGTCGTCAGCGAACTCTAATGCTAGTCTATGGCTGCATGCTCCTCACTCTCTTACTCCCTCTCTCTCTCTCTCTCTCTCTCTCTCGCTCGCTCACCCACTCACTCACTCTCTGAGACTCTAATTCGCGCTCTCTGCCTTTTTTGTTTTCATTAATTTATTGTGTTCTTCTTCAACTGGCTCTTCGCCTTCTCACATTGTTTATTATGCCCACTGTGCATGCCTCATTATTTACGTTTGCCAATTTGCCAATTCTTGTTTGGTGTTCAGTTCGCACGCACCGTATGGCCACGCGGATCGGAAATGCCATAGCAGCAGCAGCAGCAGCAGCAGCAGCAGCGGCAGTGGCAGCGGCAGCGGCAGTGGCAGTGGCAGCAGCGGCTTGCAGCCAATTGCAAAATGTGCAATGCTAACAACGAGTGTATTCACAATCGAAAACAGCCAAACATTCATTAAGTGCTTGAATCCAAAATGAAAATCTGTGCAATTCGATTAGTGTATATATCCATATGTACGTATGTATATGCTTGTGTGTGTGTGTGAAAGACTTATTGCTCATATTATGGCAGCTAAATAACTGTCTCAATCTTTGTAACTGTTCAATATGAATCTATATACCAAGTACTATATATAAATACTGCAATGTACAGATCAGTTTGTAGTAAGGAATTGTGAGTAGAGGGGGAGTGTGTGTGTGTGTGTGTGTGCTGGCAGAGACAACACTGAGACATGGCAACAAAAGTTAGATAAAGTATTAAACGGAAGTGCGGAAGTGCAGCGAATTGGCCTAAGTGCCATGCCACAAAGCAACAAGTAACAACAACAACAACAACAACAACAGTAAACAACAACAAGCAACAACAACAGCACAACATTTAGCAGAAGGAGACAGCAAAAGTATTGTTACTTCCGTTTTTGGGCATGCATTGTGTGCATAAATTAAAGCGCTCTCAAAGCAAAAGGAATAAACTAAACAACAAGAAGACGAAGGAGAAGAAGCGCTAGCAGCAGAAGAAGAACGCCAACAACAACATTAACAACAACAATATTGCGGCTCTCTTGCTGTTGACTCACGCTGTTAGCGACTACGTCGACAGCGGCTTGCCTCTGATTGAACTTTACACGCTCAAGCTTTAGCTGTCGCGTGCCATAAATAGATCTAGCAGAGCTGAGAGCGAGGGTGGTGGGTGGAGCTCGTAGGGCTGAGCGGGGAGCAGCGGGTCGCTTGGAGTTGGTCAACAAAGCTAAAGCTAAGCAGGCAGCCCAGGCATTCTCTCTCACATGTGTGTGTGTGTGTGTGTGTGTGTCGTACTCGTTGCGCGCGTGGCCGACTGACTAGCCGTTTAGTCTGCACCGACGCGCCGCGCTTTCTTACTCACATTTACATTCGCATTCGCTTTCGCACACACACACAGCTGCACAGCTTTCACATACAGATATACCCGCGCCTTCTCGCTCTGGCGCACTGCGCCTGTGCCACGATGTGGGTGACTGTGTGTGTGTGTGTGTGTGCGAGCACACGAGCAACGGCCTCTCGGCAAACTTCGTCGTCGTGATTTAAGCTCTTCGCATGTCTGCGCTCGTTAGTATGCATCGGTGTGTGTGTGTGTGTGTGCGTGTGTGGTCGCTTTGCTTACATATGATTGGCTAATAATTAAAGTTCGAAAAATTGTCGTCATCACTTGTCGCAGCCGGCGCCGCTCCATCCGAGGGGTCCCTGCTGTTGTTGTTGTTGTTGCCCAAGATGCTTGTTCGTGTTGCTGAGCTTTGCGTTGCGACGCGCGTTCGCACGTTATTTATATGCTGCGAGCCGTAGGAAAAATTAAATAAGTAACAGATCTTGAAGCGTTAACTTGTGCTGGGATCGCTCAATTCAACGGCAATTGTAACAGTAAACGCTCTAACGCCTCGCCAATCGTCACACAGTGCCGCAGCTGCAGATTGTTTCTTCTTTTTGTTTTTTGTCCAAGACATACGCGGATTTCAGTGCTCGTGCCCAAAGCAACAACAACTATGCAAATGCCTACAACAATGTTGAGCAAGTGTGGCGGCTTTGTAACGCGCCGCAATAATCAAATGTTGGCCAAAACTGAGCAGAGCTCACAGCAGCCCTCTCGCCCAGAGTCCTTGAGCGAACGCCTACAGGAGCCAATCGAACAAGCAACATCAACAACAACAGATACAGCAACAGCAACAGCAACTGCATTTGTCTGCCCACGACTTTGCGCCCAACAGTCCTGCAGTCTCCTCTGTAAGTTCGTGTACCGCGACACCGCGAAATTGTTGCACCAATTGCTGTGGCCACATCTCAATGATTCAATGATTCACCGTCAACGTCTAATCTGACGGATACTTAGCTCGCTCTATGTGTGTGTGTGTGTGTGAGTGTGTGTGTCTGTGTGTTTGTGCGACCGTGCGCGTGCTGTGTGCTTGCCTCTGATATGACAGTGAGTGCATAATGTGCGTACTGTGCATACGTCACATTCGCCGTAAATACGGGCTAATACTATTTATAAATATATATATATATATATATATATGTATATTATATAATTAGTGCAATATATACATATGTATATCTGGGCATACCTATTTCAATATTGTCTATACAATATGCAAGTCCCCCTCTTAGTCCTTTTTTTTATCTTACGGCGGTTCATTGAGCACAGCCATAAATACAAAATATATATTTGATATATTAAATATATAAAATTATGAGAAAATTGCAAAATATAAAAACATTTTATAAACATATAGAAAATAAAAATTCTATTTCATATACACCAATTTTTAAACATACATACATGTATTAATATATATTATTTAATATATTCACTTTTTAAAGTAAAATATATAGAAAATAAAATATAAAAAAAATTAATCATTTTTGAGCTGCTAAAAAATAAAATAACAACGATCTTATAAGAAAAGAATCTAAATACTAAATTTATATTACAAACTATATACATTGAAATATGTATTACAAAATCTATTTTCAAACTTTTTATTGAGAAAATAAATTATACAAATATTTTAAATATATTCTTGTATGCGAAAAGTATTTCCTATGACTTGAGACCTTAAGCTTAAGATTTTAAAAGTTTTGTATTTTTTATGATATGATAACCGGATATTTGAGTTCTATTTGAAGCCACATCTAAAGCGTTTTCTTTGTATTTTTATTTCTTTGCAGCTTGTGGCAGCTATTTCGGAGTCCTCTTGCTACTGATACTGTGTGCCAGCTATAGCAGTGCACTGCCGCGTCGCGCGCTTGGCCGCCACCTGATACTACCACACCGCCATCACGTGCACCTGCGATCAGCGGGGCAGGAGCACAAGAGCATGGATAACTTTCTGGAGTATAAGAAGAAGCTCAACTGCACACTGAACAGGGCCAACTACAGTGCGAGCAATTTGAAGCATGCGCTCGATGTGGTCATTGGCACGCGGGCCTCTACCATTGATCTCTTGACCGCCTATGTGAGTAGCCGTTGCATTTGATGTATTCCATCAGGGATTACGTTGCCAGTAGCTAATCGCCAATCAATTCGTTTGCTCTGCTGTCGATTTTAGTTCAATGCGACCGAGGAGGAGCTGGCGCGTTGCTATCACTTACACCACTTGACCCTGGAATATCCGCTCAAGGATGAGGTGAATAACAGCCAGTACGACGGCCGGAGCAACAGGTCATTGGAGGAGGATGTGCTGGCCATATACCACTCGCTAGACAGAATACGCTGGGTCCTGGTCAATGTGACCAATAGTCTCGATACCAAAGACCGCAACAATTACTTTCAATACATTGTGGAGAAGGCCGAGCACAATATTGAAAACGTCGAGGCCCTACTCAACTGCACGGGCGAAGGCGTTGGCCACATTCGATTCGATCCCTTTCAGAAACATCCACATCCCGAGTATGGCATTGTCAATGAGTTTGTCAAGCTGCTCCATGTGCTGGAGGTGAAGTATAGCTATATGCTGAGCCAGCAGGAGGCGGTGGAGGCGGCGGAGGCAGTGGAGGCGGTGGAGTGAGCACAGCTACGTGCCACGTGCTTAGCATGCCACATGCCACCTGTCAACAAGTGTCCCTCACTGTGTCCAAAAGGAACTGTACAAGATAATGCCAAAAAAAAGGAAGAAGAAGGAAGGAAAAGAAATGAAAACTAACTTAAACTAAACATCGAATCAGCGATCTATAATGCAATTGCTATAAGCCAGAAATCAGGCGTATAAGCAGCACATATATATACACATATACATATATATATATATATTATATGTTATATGTTATATATTGTACGATAACTGAGCTTTTTGATCTTGAATGCCATCTATGTTTACTAATAGCGTGTAGTATATAGTATAATATATTTAACATACCCCTATTTATTATTATTTTATATAGTTTGCAAATCAAAAATTCGTCTTTTTTTTTTTTATTACTATTCATATTATTTATATTTATTTTTACATATATTCATATCTTTCATTTATTATACCTATTCCCCCTTATGAGTTGTGAGCCCCAAAAGTATTATGAACCAATAAATACTATTTGCAATTTAAATGAACAGAACAGAAAACTCTGAAGAAATTCCTGGGTGAAAATGGGAGAAGAGCTTTCGATGAATGAAAACACATACCACAAAGAACATAAATATACATATGTATATCATATACCTTGTAACATAATATATGTTATAGCTATATATTATACACAATTTATGGATACATCATAAGTTTTAAGAAAAGTTGAATACGGGCAAAAAGCAAATCAATTGCACATTGAGGGAAATATTAGATATAGCCAAAAATAATATATGCAATAATATAATATATGTTAAATTAATCTCTCAATGTGCAATTGATAAAAATACATATAATTATATTTCTAGATTTCCCCAGTTCTATTAATGAAACATGAAGAAAATCATACAATATATATTTCTATTATATGATAATATTTTTGTATTGTATACTTTATATAGATTTATATGGATACAAATACATAATTGCATTTTTTTAACAGCAGCTCAAAAGTCGCAGACTTTCCCTCATCGCACGAAATTCGCTGGCATTTCCGTTTGTGGTATTTGGCCGTAGCTCAATTTTTGTACTTGTTGTTGGTTTAATGTGCGACTACTTACGAAGGAACCAGAGCAACGGGTGTGCGGAGTGCGCAAGTTTTGTTTCTTGTTTATGTTTTTTTTTTTTTTACAAACCTGACAATGCCCATAAGGTATATATATATATATATATATATATATACAATATATATATACTTTGGACGACGAACCTATATAACAATAATATAATGATATATATATATATATATACTTATATACATATAAATTCTTAGTTTGGCCGACGTTACTGCGTTTCTATTTATACTCATTCTCGAAAGTGCAATGAGTATATTGGTTTTCTGCAATGTCCGTCCTGTCCCTCCGTCTGTCCGTATGAACGCGCTATTGAAGCATACACATACTCGCGTATATCCGATTTAAAATGTGTGAATATATTCCGAATTCGCCAACTGGGGGCGTGGCAAATCGGTAAATGCATTTTCCGATATGCCAGAGATCATATTCGTTGATTAGCCAGAAAGCTGAAATTTGGAATTTAGATCCGCGTCGATCACCCAAGTCCAAAGAGATATGGTGAATATATCTACGCCCATTGGGGGCGTGGCAGATCGAATAAGCCTGTATCTACGCGAGTTTTAAGACTAGAACGCTGAAGCACGTGATCTAATGCTGTGATTCTATAAAGTTTAATGAAAAGCTTATATGTCTATGCCCACTAGGGGCGTGGCAAATCGGACCTGAAGATATACATATGTGTGTACATTGATTTTTTGAATTCTTCTATATTTTGTACACTATTGATGCTAGGGACCTCAAATTTGGTATATATACTCGGGCTGAGCATCCTAGACCAAAAAGATATATGTATGTGCGCCCATAGGGGGCGTGACAAACCGTAAGGGTTAATATCTCCTGCAAATTTGAATAGTTCAGTTACCAGTAACCGCCCCTATTGATGACCTAAAAATAATTGTTATGTCTCTTATCGAAAAATACCCTGTAATTTTCACATTTTGTGAGCGTAAGCAATCAAATTTTGCAGTTAGGTTAAAAATTAGGTAGTAGGGCGTGGCGCCCAGTATGGGCGTGGCAATCATTTTATTGTTTCATTTTTTTTTATTCGATTACTCGTTCTAATTGCTTAGTATCGATTAACATTTGTTAGTTTCTGGTTTTCTGGTTTTTTCTTTCATATTGTAAATATATCCAATTCCATTCAGTAAGAATTTACTATTTGAAATAGGAAATAGGCGTATGTGAATAAAATAGACAAAAATAAAATCGAATTTTCCATTATGTATGTGATGTGTCCCATATGTAAGTGCTGTATACATATGTACATATATACATACATATATGCACATATATGAACATATGTGACTCTATGCAGTTTACAGGGCGTCTGCTAGTCGATCATGCCGGCTTTATCATTTGCCTGCCAGCATTTCGATTTTTGCGACAATCCAACAATAGTTGCCTTGACCCACCCAGAGATCCCAGACACGTTCCACTGTTAGATACAGCCACACACACACACATACACAATAACAAGTATATATCTTATATATATGTTTATTTATAGAGCAACAGTTATTTATGTGCGTTTGCGTACTCCGCGTGGAAACCCCAAAATTGTGCTGGCAGGTGAGTCAGTGATCCATTAAATAGCTAATGCCTCGTAGTTGGGCACGAATGTGTAAAGAGAGGTGCGAACGCCCCAAAAGTGCTCACACACACATACACACACACACACACACACACACACACACACACACACACACACACACACACACATACATACACAGATGCATACATATGTACATATATTGAGTTGTGTTAGCGCCGGCGCCATTGGCGCCGACTGTCATTGATTTACCGTTGTGTGCTGGTCACACTTCGCTGGCTTCGCACTGGCTGAGCCTGAGCCTGAGCCTGGTCTGTGGGCATCCTGTATCGCGTTAATCGGTAATCGGATCGATGTGCGGTTGGACGCTGCGCGTGGCATTACCAGCACGCCAGAGCGGCAGAGCTAGCGACAGCGTCAGCATCGACGTCACCATTGCCCAACCCCCTCGCGCACGGTGAGTCGCAAAGCTAATTAGAGCTAACTGTTTACCCAAGCGCGTGCCCATTGAGTCAGCAACGGCGGCAGCGACGCTCCTGCTGGCAGAGCAGCGTTTTATGAATGAATTCGACGAGTCGCGACACCCGCATTAGCAGCGCCAGCGACAGCGACAGCGACGCTAGCCGCTGCCGCAGCAGAAGCGACAGCAACGACAGTGACGACGCAACAGGTGAGCGAGCGCAGAGCGTGAGCGAAACGCAAGCAGGTTCTTTGCGCTCTTCCACTCACTCACACCACTAATCACGTTGGCTCTCTCGCTCTCCCTCTCTCTCTGCGCTCACGGAGAGCGGCTGTCTGAGCGCGTTGTCTGCTCTGCGATTGGTCCGTTGTCTGCCGTTCGCATCGCAATTGAGCGCAACATGCGCACCAATCAGCGCTGCGACTGCCACTAATACAGCTGTGCATGCTCACACACACACGCACACACACGCGCGCAATGCCCTTTCGCTCTCGCTCTCTCTCGTTGGCGTTCTCTCTGCCTTCCTCACACACACAGAAAGACACGTAGCCCCAAATGCAATCTCAGTTCGCGTGGGATCTGAGTCAAGTTTAATAATTACAATTAATCTGGGAATTTCACTGGGGCCAATTTTACCATTAGCTGATATATATTTATCGCTTATCCGGGTGTAATGGATTTTCCAGTTTTTTTTTGTACTGTTGTCCGCACCGCTCCGCAGCCAACTTCTGCGCTCTAGCACTAAAATTCCCAGTCAGATTTTTAAAATTTATTGGAATCACCCAAATAGCTGCAAATACATATGTATATATATGTATATATTGTATGTATGTATGTATAGTGATGTAGTAATATCAACGTTTAATTTGTGTTAATTACCTGATTCGATTAATGTGCATGGAAATTTTGGAGAAATATTTATATATATAAATATTATTGATATATTATTCACAGTTGTGAAACCATAAAGAGAAAAAATAAATGTTTTTTTATTTATTCTTATCATTTTTATTAATTTAAATATTTTACAAAATATATGTATTTAAATTAATATAAATTATATATGAACTAAGCATTGTATTTTTGTATAAGAAATTATTTAAGTGATTTATTATAACTATTCAGGAAAATGAAGTGAGTATATTGGTTTTTTTTTGTGTGAATGCATACCATTTCGATGTGGGGGCGTGACAAATCGGATAAAACTTTATCCACTACAGATTAGAGCATGAAACTCGCAATTTAACGCCTTAACTGCTGTTGACAGCCTATATTGATTTGCTCAGCAGTACCACCTGATTTGGGAGGGAGGGCGTGGCAAATCGAAAACAATTCGAAATTTTGCAGACCGATTGATCAGCTCTTGAATGATGCTGCAATTCGAGGCCCATTCAAGTATTTGTAATTATTTGTAATGCGGGCAAAGCCAATGCCAATTGCAACGCTAATTTGGCCAAACAAACGGGCCAAGTAAGCAAACAAACGAATTAGCTAACCAACCGTTGCAATCCATTGCCGCCTGTACAGTAGGACACCTGAGACATGGCCTCAATGTGAGAATTGGCAGTAAAAATCATGATAAAGTGAAGCGATTTTACGCATAATCAAAACAGCACTAGCCTCTAAAAACTCACACCTCGGCACACAAGTTGCACACCCACAAAACAACAACGAGTTCGAGTGAGAGCGAGTGAGGGATAGACAGATAGAGAGAGAGAGAGAGAAAAGACACGGGCTCAGGGGTTGCGTTCGGGTTCGGTTTTGGTTACGGTTGCCGATTTGGCCAGGTCTCTGTGTGGGACAGGAGCTAAGCGGCGTGTAATGATTATACCCTAGCCGCAAGCAGGCAGATGGGTATATATGCGTGACACC